AATGCGGGACCCATAGGACAGGGGTTCCCGCATGAGGCTTCCTCACAATTCACTCACAGACGAAGCTCCCGCTTGACACTTCCCCCAAATTCTGGCCTGAGGAGCCCAAAAATGATGACAGTTACACGTTTCGGATGACCCGTTCGGATTACCAACATGAAGGGCAGGACCCATAGGGGAGGGGCTCCCGCTTGAAACTTCTTCACAATTCACTCGCAGACGAGGCTCCCGCTTGATACTTCCCCCAAACTCAAGCCTGAAGGGCCCAAAAGTGACGACAGTTACACGTTTCGGATGACCCGCTCGGATTGCCAATATGAAGTGCGGGACCCATAGGAAAGGGAGTTCCTCACGGGTCACTCACAGACGAGGCTCCCGCTTAATACTTCCCCAAATTCAGGCCCGAGGAGCCCAAAAGTGACGACAGTTACACGTTTCGGATGACCCGTTCGGATTACCAACATGAGCTGCTGGACGCATATGAAGGGGGTTCCCGTCTGAGGCTTCTTCACAATTCATTCACAGACGAAGCTCCCGCTTGATATTTTCCCCAAATTCAGGCCTGAGGTCCCCAAAAGTTACGACACACGTTTCGGATGACCCGCTCGGATTACCAACATGAAGTGCGGGACCGATAGGGAGGGGGCTCCTGCCTGAGACTTCCTCACAATTCACTCACAGACGAAGTTCCCGCTTGAGATCTCATCCATATTCAAGCTAGGGGGTGAGTGATGACGAAGTCATGAGTGAGTGAGTGAATGAGTGAGTGGGTGGGCGGGTGGGTGAGTGAGTGATGATGATGATGATGATGGGTATGTGATCGAGTGATGATGATGGTGACGATGGTGAGGATGATGATGATGATGATGATGACGATGAGTGGTGATGCTGATTGATGATGATGATGATGATGGTGAATGTGCTAATGGTGATGATTGATCGAGTGATGATGATGTTGTTGACGATGGAGGTGATAATGGCGTGGGTGTGAATGAGTGTGATGATTATGATGATGGTGACGATGATGAGGATGATGATGAGTAGTGGCGATGAGTGGTAAAGATGAGAATGATGATGGTGAGTGAAGGGGCGAGATGTGGGAGGCGAGGTGAGGTGAGCTTCCTGCGCGAGGTGCCCAGAGAAAACAAGATACCCACTTTGGATGTGGGGAAAAACAGCCAAGGAGTGGCTGGGCCGAGGGCAGGGGTGGCCTCAAATCCAGTCTACTTCATTTGCCTCCTACCTCATGTTTCTACCTACTTTTTCCGACCGCCCTGTGTTTTTGTTTTTCGCTTGTCCGTCGGCTCCATTTTTCCCCCCAAGCCCCTCAGCGGGCCCTGGAACGGCCGGGCCGTCGTAAGAAATTGCCGGCGAATTCAGCTGCTACTTTTTTATGTTTGTTTGGGCCCTGGCTCAGCTGTAAAATTCTTCACGCTTCGCGTATCCCCACCAGCCCATCTCAAAACAGCAACTCTTGCGAAGCATGCCGACAGTCGTGTTTTTCAGGCGTGTGTCCGCTTGCCCCCGCATATCTCCCCTGTTCCTCCTTCCTCCCGCCTCCTTGTACATCCTCCTTGTGGTGGGAGCGGGAGAAGGACGAGGCGGAGGAGGAGGGAGAGAAAGCGGTGGGAGGCAAGAGGGATTTAGCGGAGACGACGACCACAGCGATGATCCTAACAACGACGACGCACCCGACGACGACGACGATATCGACCGCGACGACGACGACGACCACAACCGCGACGACGACGACGACGACGACGTCGACGACGACGACGACGAAGGCGGCGACGACGACGACGACGACGACGACGACGACGACGACGACGACTGGTGGGAGTCGTTGGGGCCCCTCGTGGTGCGAGTCGTTCGGCCCCATCGTCCTTGTGTGAGTTCTTCGGGCCCCTCTTCCTGGTGTGAGTCGTTCGGGCTCCTCGTGGTGTGAGTCGTTCGGGCCCCTCGTCCTGGTGTGAGCCGTTCGGGCTTCTCGTGGTTCAAGTCGTTCGGGCCTCTCGTCCTGGTGTGAGTCGTTCGGGCCCTTCTTCCTGGTGGAACTAGAACTAGAACTAGTAGTAGTAGTAGTAGTAGTAGTAGTAGTAGTAGTAGTAGTAGTAGTAGTAGTAGTAGTAGTGGTAGTAGTTGTAGTAGTGGTAGTAGTAGTAGTAGTAGTAGTAGTAGTAGTAGTAGTAGTAGTAGTAGTAGTAGTAGTAGTAGTAGTCGTAGTAGTAGTAGTCGTAGTAGTAGTCGTCGTAGTAGTAGTAGTAGTAGTAGTAGTAGTAGTAGTCGTAGTAGTAGTAGTAGTAGTTTCAGCTGCTACTTTTTGATGTTTGTTTGGGCCCTGGCTCAGCTGTAAGATTTCGTATCTCTTGGTTTTCTTAATACTGACTGGGGGTGTAGGATGGGAACAACATAACCCTCAGCTTTCCTCCTCAAAAAAAAAGGTGCTCCCGGGGCCACGGGAGCCATACTGGGGCTGTCCCAAGCAGTGGCGAGGCGTCCTGGCGTGCCTATAGGCCTACCAAGCACTGTTCTAGGAAGCTTTGGCGGCTTCCGCGAGATGTTCTCAGCACATTTCTGGCTGGGACTGGCTTGTTGTAACACATCGGGTTTATGTTCTACGAACATTGTTTTGTTTTTCGAGCATTTCTGGGTTCTAAGAAAGTTTCGTGGTAGGCCTATAGGAATGCCGGGACGGTCGGTCCCTGTTCAATTGTCGCTTCGATCGCCGCTTGTAAGTGTTTGTGTGTGTGCTGTTTGCCGCAGCGTTGCGCACAGTGCAGTCAGCCCGCATCGTGAGGATGGGCAGCATTCCCAAGGGTACCATTACATCCTTGCCCCTTCAACCCATCCTTAGCGGCTTTCGCTGGCCAGCCTCGTTCGAAAAACGTTAACGTCGCCCTCCGAGGCCCTTGCATTCTTACCGCGTGTATGGTGTCTCGGCCACGCGCCGAGGGGGGTAGAGGGGGAGGGGGGAAGGCTTCTCAGAAGCACCCCTGCTTCTCAGAAGGCGCAGGCCTTCTCTGCTTATGTAGGGCCAGCGCTTTCTGAGAAGCAGCCTCCTAAGAAGCCTTCCCCCCCTTCCCCTACTCCCTCGTGCGCGCCGCCAAGTGTCACTCGTGCGATTGCTGCGGTCGCATGCCGCTGCCATTATCACTCCAGTCCTGACGAATCCCAGCAGGGGGCGGAACGTTGACACGCGCACTACCAAAGGCACGGGATCGAGAGCGCACGCCGACACTCGAGCGACGCGGAGCAGCGCGTGTTCTACTGTGCCGCAATTCGCACGCAAGCTGCCCGCGTTAGATCGGTCCTGCCCGCGCGAGGTCGCGCGCAAGCGCCCTCGTCTGCAATGTGGCGCGCCGCGCCCCTGGCCCATGGGAACCGCGGCGGAAGGTCGCTGCGTCGTGTCGCGCAGGACCGCGTTCTTTTCGTCGCTCCGTTGGGCATGCCGCCAGCGCTGCCAGCGCTGCGACGGGCCAGCGCCGCGGCGAATCGCAGACGCTGCCCGGGCGGTGTCCCAGCGGCAGTTGGTGCGTACGCCAGAGCCGACGCTGGATGCCCCACGTCGCAGGCGGGGGCGGGGCAGGTGGGGTCGGAGGATCGCGCCGCATCGGCGACGCGGCGCGATCCTCCGCCCCGCCACGGTGAATTTTTCGCGACGCGAGGAGCTGGGGCCCAGTCCCCTGCTCAGCGTCGGGGACAGCAACATGATCATGAAACTACCTCCGCAACCACCACCGAACACAGTACAGTGGACGTTCTTCGAGGCAGGCTCGCGAGCGAGAGACGTTCCACAGCATGTGTACATAATGTTTCGGGCGAAGGCCTCAGTGCACATTGAGCACATACGACAAGAAATCCTGATGTACGAAGGCACATCCTTCGTCGATCTTTGATGGTCCTCATGTGCCCCCAATTTCTGTGGCTTCCTGGGGCCCTCCAGTGAGTAGAAGTTTCCGTCGGGCACTTGCTAGCAGGCTGATTTTCTTACAGCGGAGACCCGTGCCAAGAAACACCCTGCTTGCCTTCAGGGTGCCCTGGGGTTCTTGGGTTTCGATGGTTTTGCGATGGAAAACGTGACGTTTCCACACCAACAATCAATGGACGTCCTGGGGTCTCAGGATTGGGTCTCTTGTGGACGGTTTCTTGTGGTCGAGACCCCCACTGTATTCGCATCGCCTACGGTGTAAGCGTATGGCTCCCACAGCGGGTCAGCCAGCCCCCCGCCCATGGTCAGCTTCGATCGGATCGATCCGATTCGACATCGATTTTGGCCTGGCCAGTCCGATTCGATTCCGATCTTCCGATGAACCGATGCGGCCCGGTGCTTGCATGGAACTGCGCCTCCCGGCGCAGCCGATCCGATTCGGTTTCGGCTCCGTGCCGATTCGGCGTGGGCCAACGCGCGCACGTTCCGATCCGACCAGATTTTCCGCTTCGATGTTGACGGATTTTGCCCGCCGATCCTCCCTCCTCCTCTTCCTCCTCCTCCTCTCCCTACTCCCCCTCCTCCTCCTCCTCCTCCTCCTCCTCCTCCTCTTCCTCCTCTTCCTCCCCCTCCTCCTCATACTCCTCTTCCTGAGCGCTGAGCGCTGAGGGCTCGGGTAACTCCGCGGCGAAGCGCAGCCCTATCCACCCCACCTGACATCTGCCATTCGAGGCGGCGAGAGTTATAGCAGCGATGAAAGGAGGCTACCCCGAGGCTAGATGCAGGGAGGAGGAGGAGGATCCTCCTCCTCCTCCTCCTCCTCCTCCTCCTCATCCACCCTCTCCTCTCCCCCCTCCCCAGCGGTCCCAGCCGAGGGCTCGACCTAGATTGTGCTCTTGCGACTTCGAGGACCGTTTTCGTTCCGATTCTGTCTTGCAGCAGAGGCGGGGGACTAAGACACCACGAGGGAAACCAGAAGCAAAACGAACACGGAGAGCACCCGTGAGGCCGAGCCCCGGCCCAGCCCTCCGCCGGCTTCCCGCGCCCGGGCCGCTGCCGCGCCCGCGCTCAGGCGGCGACGGTCCAGGAGCCCCGGGCTCGGTCCCCGCTGATCCGCGCCCGATCGCCCCAATCAATCCACGGGGGTGCAGATGCCAGGATTCTCCTCCTCCTCCTCCTCCTCCTCCTCCTCTGTATGCTGAGCCGGACACGGTACTTCACAGGATTTGGTCGGCCTCGCTGCCTTTCCATGTGCTGACAGGCATCATTGTTGATGAGATGGTTACTTCATCGAGCTGCAGCCTGAGCAGATGGCAGCAGTGCGAATGCGCGTGCGAGCGTGGCACACACAGACAAGTAAAACACCAGAAGACAAATTACATGTGTGAATTCGGCTCGACTTACTTTCGCTGATGTGTATAAGCACGGGGATAATGGACGCCACATCGCAGCAATTAGTATGCTATGGCGTCACGAGCACGGCCGGATGACTTAGCAAGAATCACTCGCTGAGGCCGGCTAACATTGCAGCCAGGCGGAATGAGGTTTTACAAGTATGTGAAAACGAGCACGAAACAGCACGATAATACAAACATGGAAACGAGGAGGAAGGGGGGGAGAGCAAGCAGCGCAACATCAATGAAAGACGGACGAAAAAGGGGAGAGCAATACACCCACCACGCGCACGTGCCCTCAGGCGGAGATTTATTCCGCACGTGGATCATTGCAGCGTGACCACTTCTCCTGAGCTGCGGTCAACACATCCGGGACGCAAGAAAAGTAAGGATGCTTGGAACAAATCCTGTCAACAGCACGCCAGATAACCTCCCAGGGATACTCGAGACACTTCAACTCGAGCATGAGACTCGCGATGTGGGGACCGGGATCAACATTCATGCAGCGGTCAACGCATTGGACGAGCAAGCCCTGCACGGATCTAATTTTTTCCAAGAGCGGCCGCTTGCTGTGCCACGACTGGAAACGAGGAAACAGAATACGCAACGCAGCAGCACGAAACATATTCTCATTCATGCTGTGACGGGACAAAGACACAGCAGGAGTAGTGCCAACATTGAACCCAACAAACGCAGAACGATCTTCAGCCTTCAGTCTTAAGCACTCGTACTTACGTTTTTACGGATCCAGCTGTGGACCGCGTGGCTATAACTCCTCATAAGGTTCTTGATCAAATGGTCACTCAGAATCCCGATATTCGGTGCACGGTGGTGTTCCTGATGCCAGAAGCATAACACACCGAAGATATCATCCACCCAACGGGCAATCATCATCGTGACAAAGTGAATACCATCACAAGGAATGTGGGGTGCAATCGCATGCGTTCAAACTCCAGAAAACAACACACAAGATTACACACGCGAGGGGACAAATTGCTCCCTAGTGTCATCCCCACAGTCGGCGCGAACAATCCCCTTCCGAAGTGAAGGAAGCCGCTGTCCAAGTCAGCGTCCACAATGCGGACAATACCATCCACGCGCAGAACATAATCGTCAGCAGAAACAACACGACAATTGTGTAGCGACGGCTTGGGCCGGTTAGCACGCGCCAGATTGCGAGAATGACTTTTGAAGGCGCGAGTGAAAAAGTGGGGGGGCTCCCGGTACCGAGGGGCATATCTGTAGAGCCGAAGAATGCGGATGAAACGACGACGAGTGCCATGGACCTCGCACCAACGAGCAACCACCAAGCGCAAGGCTTCGTTGATGTGGTTGCGCGGAACGTTACTGAACAAGTTATCAACGTTCCGCTTAAATGGCGCGTAGATGGGGGTAAAACCACGAGAACACTTCTCAACGCAATCTATGCTGAAATTGTGTAACTGTTCGCAACTTTCTCGGCAGCGATCACAGAAATATACTCAGGGCACATATAAGTGGTCATGAAATGAAGAGCACGGCAAGCAAGCGACAAGTGCGCACGCATGCAATGTTTAGCATAAGACCCCAGAGGACGAACTTTAAGAGGTAAATTGGAAGCTTTCGGCCACACATCGACCCCGCCAAACTGGTCGTGAGTGACATCGCGTGGGAGCAAGCCCGCGTACGCCAACTTCGCTTGGAATTCCGACAAGGCGTTGCGTATGGAATTCCAGCCTGGGAATAAGCGACACACGTTGCCTTTACCGAGAAACACCTCACGAGCACGAACCTGCCAAGCACGAGGGCAAGAGATGACAAGAGCAGATGCCATCTTCTCAACAGGGGAGACAACAGCAATACGACGAAGACGACGACTCCACGCCTCCACATCATATTGCAAAACACCATGCCCCCCGAAGGCGTCTGAACGAGCAAACATGGTCCCGATCTCCTCGCAGGCGTCAGACAAATCAATGCAAACATGTGGTGCAACACGCGAGCTCTTAGAATGCAGAGTGCCCACAACCCGCAACAACTTACAGCAAAATTGCCGGTATCCACATATGCAAGCCCCCTCAGAGTGAAAAGAAGCCGGGGCGCTGGATGAAATCGCCGTGTCTTGTGACAGACACAGAGGGCACCACTGTGCATGGGAATTCCCTGTCAGCCTTGGTCCTCAGATTGGGCGGTATGCGGCGGAAAGCTAACAACAACAATAATGTTGTGAAATGACTGCGCCATAACAGACCGAACGTCGTGCCCTGGTTGTTGCAACGATTGCCAAAAACGCTGTCCGGGTCCACCCTTGCAGTGGCTCGCCAGAGAGTGTTCCATATTATTGGCCAGAAGTGTTCACGTTCCTATGTCTCTTGTTCTCTTCCCATCCCTTCTCTGCTTGACCTTCCCATCCGTCCTGCTCTTGCTTCTGCCATCCGTTCTCAATTGTCTGTCCAACTCCCAGTTGGGACGTTGGTACACTTGCTGTTCAAGCGATTGAAAGCACCACCACCACGCTGCAATTGCCAGTTTTCTCCCACGGAGCCCAGACGTGTTCCTTCACGGATGGAACATTCAATTGAGGGTGGAGAGCATGGATGAACCGTTTTTCGAGCACGCGTAATTCAAAATCGGGCGACGACAAACAAACAAGAGGAACCCAAACAAAATGGGCAACATCCAGCGACCTCATCTTGAAATACGCAGTGATCTGAGAACGAGGACTGTCGCCGAGCATATTGCCCAACTTCTCGCACATTCGCACGTCCATCCCCCGATTCGTCTTGCCAACATGCATACGGTTGTGACCCGTGGACAACCAGGCATACACGACATGGGGGGTGAAGGAGGAAGAGACAATATCGCAATGGACAGGAGAAGCAGAGCGGACAATGGAAGAGTAGACCTCCTGATGGTGGCGAAAGGAAGAAAGACCAAGGAGACTGATGGATGATATGGAGTGAAGAAAACCCAACCAGCCTTTGAGGGCGTAGGTGGTCTAGGGAGGTACCTCTTCCAACGCCCTTCTCCCCCTTCGGGGACCGGTTTACCCAACCACCATCCCTATCTAAAAACAAGACATAGTACATTTGGCGGCGGCGGCGGCGGTTGCGGCGGCGGCGGCGGCGGCGGCGGTGGCGGCGGCGGCGGCGGCGGCGGCGGCGGCGGCAGGTGGCGGCGGCGGGGCGGCGGCGGCGGCAGGCGGCGGCGGCGGCGGCGGCGGCGGCGGCGGCGGCGGCGGCGGCGGCGGCGCGGCGGCGGATTGGCTCCCAGTAGCTGCCCATCCAAAGACGACCGCTGATTATGCTCAGGCTCGGGGCAGACTCGGGTGCTACGTATGTGTTGGGAGGGCGGGTGGGAGTGAGCGAGACGGCTTGCGGTCGGGGAATCTTGATCATTGCTCCCGATGTGCCCCCCCCACCATCCCTATCAACAAACAATACATAGTACACTTGGCGGGCGGCTGCGGCGGCTGCGGCGGCTGCGGCGCGGCTGCGGCGGCTGCGGCGGCGGCGACGGCGGCTGCGGCGGCTGCGGCGGCGGCGGTGGCGGCGGCGCGGCGGCGGGGCGGCGGCGGTGGCGGTGGCGGCAACGGCTGCGGCGGCGGCGGTTTGGCAGCGGGCGGCGGTGGCGGCAGCGGCGGCGGCGGCGGCGGCGGCAGGCGGCGGCGGCTGCGGCGGCGGCGGCGCGTGGTGGCGGCGGCGGCGGCGGCGGCGGCGGCGGCGGCGGCGGCAGGCGGAGGCGGCGGCGGTGGCGGCGGCGGATTGGCACCTAGCAGCTACCCATCCAAAGACGACCGCTGAATATGCTCAGGCTCGGGCCAGACTCGGGTGCTACGTATGTGTTGGGAGGGCGGGTGGGAGTGAGCGAGACGGCTTACGGGCGGGGAGGGTGTTTTGATCACTGCTCCCTATTAATAAACACCCCCTCCCCCAGGCGACTGGGGGCCAACCAGGGTCCATGCCCCCCCCCCCACCATCCTTGTAGAAGCATATCTGGGTCGTCCTCGTGCTCCTCCTGCTCGTCCTCTGTCTCCTGCTCCTCCTCCTTCTCCTCCTCCTCTTTCTCCTGCTCCTCCTCCTCCTCCTCCTCTTCCTCCTGCTCGTCCTCGTTCTCGTCCTCCTCGTCTTGCTCGTCCTCCTCCTCCTGGTGTCCTCCTCCTCCTCCTCCTCCTCCTCCTCCTCCTCCTCCTCCTCCTCCTCCTCCTCCTCCTCCTCCTCCTCCTCCTCCTGTGTCCTCGTTCTCCTCCTCCTGGTGCTCTCCCCCCCCCTCCTCCTCCTCGTCCTCCTCCTCCTCCTCCTCGTCCTCCTCCTCCTCTTCCTCCTCCTCCTCCTCCCTCCTCCTCCTCCTGGTAGTCCTCCCCCCCCCTCCTCCTCCTCCTCCTCCTCCTCCTCTTCCTGGTCGCCCTCGTTCTCGTCCTCCTCGTCTTGCTCGTCCTCCTCCTCCTGGTGTTCTCTCCTCCTCCTCCTCCTCCTCCTCCTCCTCCTCCTCCTCCTCCTCCTCCTCCTCCTCCTGGTGGTCCTCGTTCTCCTCCTCCTGGTGCTCTCCCCCCCCCTCCTCCTCCTCCTCTCTCCTCCTCCTCCTCCTCCTCCTCCTCCTCCTCCTCCTCCTCCTCCTCCTCCTCCTCCTCCTCCTCCTCCTCCTCCTCCTGGTAGTCCTCCCCCTCCCCTCCTCCTCCTCCTCCTCCTCTTCCTGGTCGTCCTCCTCCTCCTGGTC